TTTTTTTATTTCCTATGAGCTGCACAATCAGTCTTCCCGATGAGCAGACCTAGTGCTTTCTCCAGAAGTGGTATCCACTCTTTCAGGAGACCACAATGGGTGAGATACCGTTGGCCATGTTAATTCGGACGCCTAGTTTCTGCCACACTAGATGGCAGCACCGTGACTCTATTTGGATGCTAAAGTGCACTAGGAATTTAACTTTGCCGGAAATGCCAAGAGCCAATGAGGCACTCCAGGGATCTTTTACATGCCGCATAATTATACGACATGGCCGCTGAGGATTTTCTGATTTAAAAAATATTAAGGTTTAAATTTAAAAAATATTAAGTTTTTGAATTTTTATTTAAAAAAAATTTATCAAAGAAAATATAAAAATATGTACAATATTCAAGTTCTATACAATGAACATACGCAACATGGTATACTCAAATCAACTAACAAGTTTTAATTTAATAGTTTTATTAGAAGTCGAGTAATCTTACGCGGACAGGTGAAAAAATTTCAATTCAGAAATCTGATTTAAATACAGAACACACATTTGTAAAAATAAATTTAAACAACAGAACAAAATAGGTCGCAACATACATTTTTTTTTTCAAAAACCATATATTTTTTTGGAAAAACACACTCGACCAGCGATTCCCAAAAGGTGTTCTAAGCAACCCTAAGGTTCAGTGGAATGGTTACAAGACTTCCGTAAGTTAGGATTTTTGCTGGGATTGTTAGGTGCGAATATTTTGCTGGGAAAAAAACAGCTATACCAAAATTTTCCAAAAGGTGTTTGACGGAACCCTAATGTTCTGTGGAATGATTACAACGTTCCGAAAGTTAAGTTTTTTTTTATCCAGTACTAATTATATTTATATGCAATCAACAATCCATAAAATATTTAATATTTCAGTCGTTCTTATTAAATTAAAATGCTTTCGAAATGTATGGTTATTTTATGAACTTTAGTAAAAGAATAGAAACAATTTTAAAAAATAATAATATATTTATTATATTATGAAATGGAGTAATTAGTTCGCATCGAGTTTTTCAATCCAAAATAAAATAGCCAAAATCAAGAATAAAGAATTACGTTTCTCCGATCACTGTTCTCAACACATTTACAACAGTTCTTTTTTTAATTCAGTTAACCTGATTAATTATCAGCATATGCATCCAACAAGAACAAATTCAAAGTAATTAGCGCGAATTCCTTTTTTCGGTTAGTACATTTATACCTTGAATAACCGAAGAACCAAGAGAATGTCGACTTTCACCGGTGAATGTCAACAATTACTGAGTCGCTTCAGTGAATGTCCGAAATATTTATTACATCCGATTTGATATTAATTTATTCGTTGATATTATAATGTTTATTCGATATTTTAATGTCTGCTAAGGATAGATTAGGAGTACCGGTTAAATCATACCGGGCAGTGGCACTCAACTTTAAAAAAACATCAGTGTTGGGTATACCGGGTAGTGGCACTGAACCTTAAAAAAACATTGATGTATCACATACCGGGTAGATGTATACCGGGCAGTGGAACTTAACTAGGCTTAGTACACTATCTAGCCATTAATGACCGGACACTGCGAAGTTCGGCGGTGGAGGAATTATGGTGTGGTCCTGTTTCTCATGGTTTGGCCTTGGACCCTTGGTGTTAGTGCGTCGAACCCTGAACGCAGAAGGGTATAGAGACATCCTGGACAATTCGGTGCTTCCCACCCGGGTAATGGCCCGTTTGTGTTTCAACACGATAACGCTGCCATTCATAAAGCACATGCCATCTCGCACTGGTTTGATGAAATGGGGGTGCAAGAGCTTGACTGGCCATCCCAAAGTCCCGACATCAATCCAATTGAGCATCTCTGGGATGAGTTGGAACGCGGGTTGAGGGCCAGACCACAACGCCCCAAAACCACCACTCAACTCTTCGCCATGTTACAGGAGGAATGGCGGGCAATACCTGCCGCCGTGTACCAACACCTAGTGGATAGCCTTCCTAGAAGGGTTAAAGCTGTGNTTTGTGTTTCAACACGATAACGCTGCCATTCATAAAGCACATGCCATCTCGCACTGGTTTGATGAAATGGGGGTGCAAGAGCTTGACTGGCCATCCAAAAGTCCCGACATCAATCCAATTGAGCATCTCTGGGATGAGTTGGAGCGCGGGTTGAGGGCCAGACCACAACGCTCCAAAACCACCACTCAACTCTTCGCCATGTTCCAGGAAGAATGGCGGGCAATACCTGCCGCCGTGTACCAACACCTAGTGGATAGCCTTCCTAGAAGGGTTACAGCTGTGATTCGGGGGCGCAGCGGCCCTACGCCCTACTGACTTGATACTAGCACCTCATGTATCCGAAATGAGGGTTGTCCGGTCATTAATGGCCAGATAGTGTATATGTTTCGGACATTTACCAAAGTCACTTGTGATAGTCAACATTCAACGATGGAAGTCAACAACAACCAATTTCGGGCATTCACAGTAACGTATTCATTTCGAACAAATTTTTTTTTTCTGGTAATGCTACATTTTTCGCCAAACAATCGCCAAAAGATCATTTAAGGTTCCACAGCCTAACAAAAATATTCTTAAAAGCGAATGATAATTACCGTGGAGATCTAAGATTTCGAGTGTGTCTAAAACTTCTCTGAATGTCTCATATGGAGCCAACGTCAGTTGATTGGATTGTAAATAGAGCCAGACCAACGAATCCAAATTCGAGAAAGCATTCACTTCGATGGAATGGAGTCTGGAACAAAACAAAACAACAACATGCATTTCGCAATCACTTCAGTCTAGAAAATAACAATTTATGAATTGTCTAGAATTAGGCGTCTCAAAGTAGTTTCAGGCGGATAAAAAAAAGTCTGTTAAAAGGTATGGTAATGATGTTAAAAAAAAAATTATATAGGGTGAACCAACCAGTGAAGGAACATTTCATATATATTGATTAAAAATAAGAATTTGAAAGTTTTTCTTCAGATTGATTGGTAACAATAGCTTATTGCCAAACAATCGGAAATCATCTAGCAATGTTTTGGATTACCTGGTCACATAGACTTCGCTGGAAAAATTTTTGAATTTGTTTTTATCTCTGCAACATCTTGTATCTTTGAAAAAATTATAAGGTGAGTGTTTGTATTTATATGTTTGAAGTGGAATCAATTGAATGTAATAATTTTATTTAACTCACTGTGAAAAAGAGAATTCAAAATATAGTTATTGAAGTTACGTTTCATTTTTTTAAGCATCATAGCACAATAAAGTACTGAGATAAGGGGGTGTTTATTCACTGGATCACCAAACGATGAAAAACCAGTGAAGGAACACGTGTTCCTTTACTGTTGTTTTTTCTAAGTTATTGAAAATAAAAGATAAACTTTAATTTTCTTGTACCTTTAGGGATGTTCTGCATCAAAAGTATGCTAAAAATACGAAAAACAACTTCTAACCAGTGAGGGAACAGGCATGTTCCTTTACTGGGCATAGATTTCCCAGAGAATGAACAGTATGTGTTAATATGTTGACACTTTAATTTTCAATTCATGATTACAAGAAAAATTTACCATTTTCCAAGTGCTTATTATGCTATAATTTCAAGAATAGGCTTGTTTTTAAATATTTGTATGGCTTATAAATTCATAAAGAGCATTAAAAAATAACCAAAATTAAGTGTTCCTTTACTGGGTGTTCATTCATTGGTAAAAGCTGTTCTTTCACTTGGTCTTCTTACTACTTGCTATTTGAACCTCCAAAACTTTAAAAAAATATTATGTAAGTTCTCTACAATTTTTTTACATAATTTGCAATTAGTAACAAATATGTTGACACTGTCATTTAACTAAAATTACGAATTTTGAAATTAATATGATTTTTTAAAAGGCAAGCGCAGCTTAAGTGGTCCTTCACTGATTAGTTTACCCTATATAGTAAAAAATACAAGAAAAATCTGAAAAGTAAATTTAACTAAGTAAATAGTTTTTATGCCTTGCTCATGCTCTAATGTATCACAATAAGTTATCACGTTTACAAAATTTTATCGCATAAAATAAATCCATAATTTATTGTAAATTTTACTAAAATCATTACTAATGCTCTTCGGTAAAAATGACTGAGCTTTCTTAGTGTTAGTATAAAACCAGAAACACGTACAATGTTAACATATTCAGGTAGTTTTGACAATACTTTTTTCTCAGTACACACTTTTCCCCTTTCGGTTACAATGATTTCATCACATCTTGCTTCTTACAACCCCACTATATTCCAGTTTCTTAGTGAAATGTGCTGTTTTGGGGGAAAACAAGTGTTGGAGAAACCATAGTAAAGGTGAGGGGGGAAAGTGGAGGGTGAGAAAACTAAGTAACAATGAGACGCTTATTTTATTTACGAAAAGCATAGTGACCTAAAAGAACTTGAATGAAATAAGTGATATTTTAGAGAATTTGAGTGAATGAGTTAGTTTAACCATTACTCGTTTTTGTTACTTCATTCTATCTTCATGATTTTTTTTTACTAGCTGTGAAGGTTAAACGCTTAAAATTTCAAGCGTTAAAATGTTAAGCTTTTCCGTTTCACTATCATACACTTTATCAATCTTTCATTCGGTTTAAATATTTTTTTTTTAATTTGATTGGGATAGATACCAGATAAAAAATTAAAAAAAAAAATACTTACAAACAATTTGTTTCAAATTTTTGTCGGAAAAAAAAACAGTTATTAAAAACAGTTAAATTAAAGAGGAGTTGAAAGGAAATAATGTCTCCATATTTAATCTGGCAATCAATTTGATCTTGATGTTTTAGTTCCATCTACTTCAATAATGATTCTTTAGTTTTCCGATAGTGTTTTCTTTTGTTTATCAATCAATTTGTGTTCCATCTGTTTCTTCATTATTTAGTTAATTTTAACCAATTCTAAAATTCATGTATTTTTAGATACACAGTGAAGACATATATAATTTTGGGTTAATATTAATTTTATTCGAATTCATAAATAGGAAACGATATCTAAAACTAGAAACTGCACATATAATATTCTAAATAAAAAAAAATTTACCAATTATTCTCGCAAAATTTTTTGTAGCCTTTTATAATAGGACCTTCAAAAAATACGTAATTACTTAATGTAGTTATCTTTTAAATTCGTGAGAGTTCTACGATAAGCATATAAATGAAAAACACTGTAATTATTTCAGTTGAAAAGTAATAAAACGTAATCATACCTGTTCTTTTGCAAGTAAATGAATTTTAGTGTCTTTCCGTAGTATTTGAAATCCTCTTCCGTTATTTTCGATATTTTGTTCTGTCTCAAATCGAGTTGTCGTAGTTTTTCCAATCGACGGAGAGAATCTGACGGAACTGAATCTAACTGGTTGCCTCCCAATTTCAACCATTCTAAAGAACCTGAAAAAAATATCCAGTCAAATATTTTTACTCTCATAAATAAAATTGAAATTAATTTTTCGCAAACAATAAATAAAATATTCCTTTAACAGGGTGCGTAGCCAAATCTCTCAACAAAAGATAAGCACCTTTACCAAGTGCACTTCTACTTTTTAAGCTAAGCACTGAACTACGAAGCTCCAAGTACTTTTTAAGCACCAAAAATATTCTTAAGCCCTATGTACATTAATAAAATACAAAATAATTTTCAAGGACTTTACATGATCATGAGAAAATAACTAGTTTCTGACCATGAATTCTTTTCTTAATTACATGAGCCACCGTAAAAATATCGAGAGATTTTTCGGTTCGATTCAGAGGATGGAAAATTGAGCTTGAAATTGAAAATATCTATCAAAATGCAGCAAAGTTGCACATGAGAGTGCAATAATCTCACCCAACTCAGCTCAGTAGACGCACATGTGGACCCGCAAAGTATTTCATCAAACATGTAAAATGACAGCAGCGTATGTAAATACGCTTTCATACGCTACGGATCAACGGTACGCCGAAATATATCGTGTTTGCATGAATTATTAAAACGTTGAATAGAACAATGTGAAAACCACGATTGTGCATAATGCGTGGCGGAAATCTCATTTTTAAAACGGGAAAATTAAGCAACTTTTTAAAAACATCCAATAAAAAAAATAAACGCCTTTTAAGTACTTTTTTAAAAACGCTACGCAACATGTTTAAAACGTTCGGAATATGGATAAGACATTTCGAGGACAACGTGTGTTAAAAATGGAACTAACTGATCACGAGACTTATGGATCTGTTTCAGCTAAAGCTCGAAAACCGTCAAAAAATGCATACATTGCCTAGTTAATCCTCAGATTAACTAGGATAATCCGTTACGGATCGGAAATCGGAAGTTTTCCGCAATAAATCTAATGCGCGCATTAACGCTTGCTTCTCCCATTCTATCAACTAATATATTAATTGTGTTTATTGACGTCCAGCAGTGGATTGGTCATAAAGACACCAAAGTCAAGTATCTCTGGCTGCTCTCAAAAAGCTGGTGGGTGACTTCTTTGAAGAACCTGCGTAGGAACCCAGGTTGCGTTGTATTGGTCCTTGTTAAACTTTTCTACGGTAATGGTGCTCGGCTTTGCACTTAGGTCGTCTGGTTACCAAAGCCCATTGGGAACCGTTGGTGGTCTGGATACCAATCTTTCACCAAAAGTTTGGTGCAGTTGCACCGTGGAAATATTTCTAGATCCATACTTCACAATTTGCGGTGTAACTGAAAATTTTTTTCTTTCCTTTAACTTAAATTTGGGATAATAAGAAACTTTGCACCAAATACTCGTAAAAGATTTATCGAGTTTCTTCTTTTTTTTTAAACGCGCAAGCGCAAACTGAAGGTCGCTGAAAGTTTTAAAGTAGAGAATTAGGCCAGCCGTATCTTCAGCCGTATGTAAATCAAATTTGGAACAAATTGGTTCAGAATCGCAGCTTTATATGAGATACATGCTTAAAAAATCATACATATAAACAGTCTGCTTCATTTATATACACTGTAAATAAACTCGGTAAATCTTTAATCAGTGCAAAGTTTTGGTATCGTATTTGGTGCAAAGTTACTCATAATCCCAAAGTTTAGTTCAGTGAAAGATCATTTCATTTTAGTTACACCATAAATTGTGAAGTATGATCGAGAAATACTTCCATGGTGCAACTGACTGCATCAAAAGTTGGTGCAAGAAACGGAACTTTGACGGTGATTGTAAACTAAACGATATTTGCTTACGATGCCACGTTTTCTTCACAGCTCGGTCTCGGTGCATCAGGAGGACTAATGCATGATAAGTGTCAACTTATTTAGGTAAGTAAATGTCTTATTTGCCTTAATTAAAGTTCATTTCTTTTATGTTGCCTTTTTAAATTTAGTTGGTGGTGTAAAATGGTTAGAGGTATGTCATAAAATAACCTACTTACGGGAAATAATTTTGTTACGGTAAATAACAACCTTAGAGCCATTTGAGCTGTTTAAAAATACCTAATATTGGTGCAAACTTCCTCTGCTTTTATAAAAGAGAAAAAAAGAGAGAATGATAAAGGTGTTTTGTTTATATAAAACACCTACTTTTGGTGCAACTTTCTACCAATATTAAAAGCTAATGAAAATACCAAAATATGGTAAATTTGAGCTAGCTTCATATAATGTAGGAAGCAAATGAATTTTAATTTTTAGTGCAACGTGGCTCGGAATTTTTTACAGTGTAGATTATGAGTAATTTTTGTTTGTTTTCGAACTTTAGTTTGTCTTATAATTGCTAAAAATTATAAAGCTGCACTAATTAGTTAATTCGTAGAAGCTGTTGACAGAATGAGACTTTTTACCCATTGGCAAAATGGGTGCTGTTTTGGGTTTTGATGGCGTGTGCAACTTAGTTGGACGTCATCACACATTTAACTGTGTTCAAGAGTAATAAGTAACAGTGCGCATGCGTCGTCATTGCATGCGTTACTATGGCGACCGCTGCTATTTTTCTTTTTATTTTCACTAGCAGGCACTTTGAATGTATTTACATAATAATGATTTAAAGTATTTTTATATTCTATTTATCATTAACTTATAATTACTGTCTTGACGGTGATTTCAATATAAATATGAATACTGTAGAAGGAAAAGTATTTTGTGACGTCTTGACGCACGTACATAGGCAGGATTTGAAAACCAATCAAACGACAAACATCCATTGAGACAGTTTTTGCAACCCATTATTTGAAAGGTTGTGGCATTTAATGGAGTCAATCCAGAAAAAAAAAACATGTGACCAGCTAGTTTGAGTGCAACAGCTAGTATTTTCTTAATTTTTTTATCGTCGGGGTGTGCTTAGGATGTAACAAATTTGCACCGCATTATAGTTCAACGTTAGGACAGATATTTTATAAAATGATACGCTCTTTTTAACTAAAGATAGAGACAGGTTTATTCAGTAAAGTTTGATGTATCTAACATTTCTATAATTGTCCACTTCTATAATTATTTGAAGAGAAATCGTTTAATTTATCTTCTGTGTTCTAAGACAACAACATGGAAGAGGAAATGTTCATCTCGGTCTGTAAATGCGATAGGAGGGCCACGTGCTCAACCTCAATCGGATGAAAGAACAACCACTTTGCTATATTGGATTCTTTATTCTCGTGTAAACAACAAATGGGTTGTTTGTCCAGAAATTAGGCTATTTCTCTATAGACGCCATTTTCTTCGCCAGACGGTCATGAAATGAATTAAGTAAAAATAGAATACATTCTTACATAAAATACACTGGTGTAAGAAAATAAGAGAATTTGCAGACTGGGTCGATTATCTCTAGAACTACTGGACCGATTTTAATGAAATTTGATACGTACGTACATTGATACAATACAAAACAAGTAAACATTCAACAATTGTAATACGCACGCATGATCGTGCGTAACACTCGTTGGAGTCAGAAGGTATGAAACAGCGTTTGCAGAATGAACAAAAAAAATGGGTTAATAGAAGGTATGGTCTCCTCTTACAGATATACAGGCGTGATTTAATGCATGAAATAAGGCAGTTCATCATGTCCTGTGGCAATTGGCCTGAATTGTCCTGTGGCAATTTCATACCATCCGACTCCAACGTGTGTTACGTACAATCATGCGTGTGTATTACAATTGTTGAATGTTTACTTGTTTTGTATTGTATCAATGCATGCACACATCAAATTCCATTAAAATCAATCCCGTAGTTCTAGAGATAATCGACCCAGTCTGCAAATTCTCTTAATTTCTTACTCCAGTGTATCTCATTATGTACCCATAAATAAGTATGATAGTATTATAAATTATATTGTAATATATATTATGTATTATATAGTTATCTCTAGTTATTATATACTTATATAACTAGATACTGTTATTGTAAAGCTATCAAGATTAAAATATATAAGAATTTTTTTGAATACTGTGCAAAAGTAAAAATTTTTTAAACATTGAAATAAATTGAAATAAGTTGGCAAGCAAGTAAATTGTAAGCATCAATTATTAGACGAATAAATGTAAAAGCTGTCCAAATGAAAGTTTTCGTGTAGTAGTGTCAGTACATCAGCGATTGCAGCGCCACTATTTGGTTTAATAAAGCAAGATAGAAAACAACAGATTGGATATAACTGTAACCAACTTAATATCTGCAAAAATTTTAATTATTTGTGTCTTTTTCTTGTTCTTAATTTTGGTGAATTTATAAATCAATGATAATTCGTGAAAGTTTTCTTTTTTTTCCTGAATTATTGAGGAAAACATTTAGAGATTTATAAATTTTATGACTGGTAGAAACATAACTACAGTAGAAGCTGTTAGAGATTTTCTGCAATTAAAGATTTTTACTACTAGAGACTTTCTACTACTACATATTTTCTACTAAGAGAGATTTTTTACTATTAGAGACTTACAAATGCAACAGACTTACTTTCAATTCCTTCAAAAGCTTTCGAATGTATGAGATGTATTTTGTTACTTTCCAAATCCAGAGAATTCAGCAGTTTTAAGTTGGCAAAAGCTCTCGCTGGCAGCTGTTCGATTTGATTGCTAGCAAATTCTAGAACATCTAAGTTTTCTCCCATCCCCAGAAACTCCTCCCCTAAAATGTGTGATATCTGATTCTCGTGCACTTGAAGCCTCTGGAGGACTGTGAGGTTCCTTAAGGGACTGGAAGGCACAGACGATAGTTTGTTGTCACCGAAGTTCAGTTGGGTCAGGTTGCCACCGATTCCGAGGAATGCCGAGTTGTCAATGAACTTGATTCGGTTTCCGAAGAGGGAGAGTCTAAGCAAAGAAATAAGGCCCCGAAAAGCTTCCGCGTGAAGTATTTCAATTTTATTGTAGTTCAGATTAAGCGATGCTAATTTCACTAGGTTCTCTAAGGCTGGCGTCGGCACTCTCTCCAGGTGGTTCTGTCCCAAGTCCAGTGTCTCCAGGTCATCGACGAGGTTCGCGAACGCCTCGTCGTCAATTGAAGTAATACTGCAGTTCAGAGCTATGAAGTGGTTCACCCTCAGACCCCCCATCAAGTTGTACTTAAAGTTGCCGATGTTGATGTTGCGAAATTTGAGGTACCACACAACCTGTTGGGTGCCGGCCACTGAGTTCACCGATTGGCTGAGATCGGTCAGGGATGCGGCGTCGCAGTTGAGGTCCAGACCCTTTGTCTTCTGTGTGCAGGTGCAGGTCTTGGAAATCTGTGGACATCCTGAAAAATCCGGGCTCACCGGGGAAATTATCAGGAGGCAGAGGAAAAGAAAACTAAACATGCTTGATCCATAAGAGTTGAGTCAATCTGCAAAGATTAATGAAAGCAGAGTGTGAGAAATATATATATATATATATATATATATGGGTCTCCTAATCTATCCTCAGCAGATTTTAAAATATCGAAAAATTATAATAATAGCAAGAAATAAATTAATACCAAATCGAATATAACAAATATTTCGGACATACACCAAAGCGACTATCTGATTGTTGACATTCTCCGGTGAAAGTCGACATTCTCCTGATTTTTAGTCATTTAGTGTTATATATAATACAATTACTATATTTATTTTTCGAGATTAGAAAAAACGTAAGGGTAGTAATTTTTACTACATAAGTAAGCATAAATAAACGACGGAGCTTAATCAGGTCTGTTACTGATTATAAAATCACTTCAAGTTACTTTTTACTCTTACACTGCTAGAAATTTTAGGTCTTACTAAACTATAAATATCTTCCAAATTGTTGCAACGTCATTATGGTGCTAAATAGAACCAAATTATTTTTCCCAATTGCACGATACTATAGATTAGATTGAACGGAAATATGATGCAACTTAACACCTTATTAAGGATTGCAGAAAATATGTTACTGCATATTAGAGCAGTCGGTTTTACATTAAGTAAGTTCATAATTCCAGAAGGATCTATAATTTTAAAAAAAAATTTCTCGTGTATTTTTTATTTATTCAAATATGAAAGTATTTATATATCTTTTCAATTAAGAAAGCATATTTAAAATTAAAATAAATAATAATAAACTAAATTTTACTTTATTTTGTTAAATTAGAACTAAAAAATAATCATAACATTTTATAATCATATCATATATACTTGAAATTGATTTTTTTTTTTACAAAAAATCATTGTTTTTCTTAATTTTTTAAAATTTATTTTCAAAAAATCCATTTTAAGGGGGACCCTAATCATTGGGGGTCCCCATGGCCTAGTCTGGCCACTGCTAGGAATAAATGCAAGCAGAGGCAAAAAGTGACTCCATACATACTTTGCTCTTTAAATAAAAGGGATTTTTGCTATAAAAGGGATTTTTAGGGATACACGTTGCAAGAGATTCCGCATTGTATCTTAAGCAAGTGTTACAAAGGGGAAAATTAACACTTTTTAATGATTATTCTCATTGAAGCCACTTTTATGATAATTATTTTCAAATTTTTTATGATATTTCTTTCTCAGAAATATAATCACTTGGGATTTTTAAAGTTATTTTTAAGAGGAAATGAAACTATTTTTAAGAGAAAGCTTTTCAATCGGAATAATGAATTAAGAATGAGATGTAAGAAATAATATAAAGAATAAATATAAAAACACTCGTAACATTACACAGAGAAGAGTTCATATTCCACGCTCTGAAATGGATAATTTTTTAACCCAACGCGAGATTTATTTACAATTCCCACTTTTTGCCTTAAATTACGACCTTGGCGGTAAAAATAATTTTTTTTCAAATTTTTAATGTTTTATAATCACGCTGATCTTTGTTGAAGTTGAAATTAAAACCAAAAATAATAGGTTTCTTTTAAATCACAAAATGTTTACAACAAGGTCTTTATTTTAAATTCCTTTTACCAAAAAAAGTAATTTCGATAGTAACAGGTTTCAAATGTAACATTTTGAGTTATGATTATTTTATAAATACGTTTTCAAGCTACGTCTATTATCTTAAACGTGTCATTTGAGCTACGTCCATTTTTTAGAAGGTACATTCCAAACTGTATCCATTTTCTTAATTAACTTTTTCAATATCTGTTTTTTTTCTTTCTTTTTAAAACTTTTTTAAGCTACGTCAACGTATCCATTTTCTTAGTTAAGTTTTTTAAGCTCTGTTAATTTTTTGAAACTTTTTCAAGCTACGCTAATTTTTTTTTCTTTCAGCGCGTATTTTAATTTGCGTTCAAAATAAAAAGCTTATTACACGCACTTCTAATAATACATTTTTTACTTTTCTTCGAATTTAAACATTTCCATTTCTATTAACATGCGTTAACAGTCCTTATCCAAATTATTACACACACTATAAGATTCTATGCAAAATCCTGATTATCAGGTTATACTATATAGCTTGTTGTTTTTACGTGACTGAAACCGGTTTGCACTTGTTTATGTTTATTATCAGTTAGTTAAAATTGTAATGTAATACGTTAAAAATAAATACAAATAGGAAGTACATGAAAAAATTCCTGAATTCCTGAAAAAACCCATTGCATGTATGTTTAAACATAAAAGTATTGCCCATAAACCCGTGCAAAACATGCCATTGTTAAAAATCTACAGTGCGTATTTATAAATTGGTCCAGTAATGAATAATTGTGGAGCGGTAATAATTTGGTCTAATTATTATAATATCCTAATATAATATCTGGTATAATAAATATTCTATATTTATATAATATATCGTCTAACTTATACAAATGTCGAATTTATATTATACATCGTGTCTAGTTTAACTACACTGGTGTATAAGAGAATTTGCAGACTTGGTCGATTATCTCTAGAACTTTTGGACCGATATTAATGAAATTGATATGTACAATACATAGATACAATACAATACAAAACAAATAACCATTCAACAATTGTAATACACACGCATGATAGTGCGTAACACTCGTTGGACACGGAATGTATGAAACAGCTGTTGCAGATTAAACAAAAAAATGGGTTAATAGGGGGGGTATGGTCCCCTCTTACAGGCCTTGCAGCTTGATTTCATACTTCAAATAAGGCAGTTTATCATTTGTTGTTCGTTGTTCTCATCCCCATGACCAACAGAGCTAGATCAGGTTCATGAGCTCGTTCTCTCTGAGAAAGTCTAGCACCAACAGGGGAGCTTGAGCCAGGTCCTGCCTGGCCCGGGCAGCAGGACACTTAGTGCAAATTTCGAAATGTTTATTACCATCGATATAAGTCATTGATGACAGATTTCCTCTGAGTAAACGAGTAATGGCAGTTTGTTCTCGTCTATTGCTGCCCCGAGCCAAGAAGCCCTCTGGGCACCTAGTCTGATACCATGAGTGTACCAGCGGGATCATCCAAATGGCCATATTCTTTGCCTTACATTTAGAAAAATGCTTCTAGTAAGTAAGAGGAGCGACAGTCGTAATGGCCTCTTCAGTACTTGCTTTGGCCAAACTGTCAGCAATCTCATTTCCGGCTACATCGACATGTGACGGAATCCAATGAAAGTGGATCCGATCAGAAAGGGAGAGATGTTTCAGTTTCCTGAGAATATCAGCACCAACACTGTCCCTAACATTCTGCTAATCAGCCAGGTGCTGGATAGCACTTTTACTATCCGAAAAGATCCAGATATCAATAAACCACGAAAGAGACATTGTTCACTGNCAATACAAAACAAATAACCATTCAACAATTGTAATACACACGCATGATAGTGCGTAACACTCGTTGGACACGGAATGTATGAAACAGCTGTTGCAGATTAAACAAAAAAATGGGTTAATAGGGGGGGTATGGTCCCCTCTTACAGGCCTTGCAGCTTGATTTCATACTTCAAATAAGGCAGTTTATCATTTGTTGTTCGTTGTTCTCATCCCCATGACCAACAGAGCTAGATCAGGTTCATGAGCTCGTTCTCTCTGAGAAAGTCTAGCACCAACAGGGGAGCTTGAGCCAGGTCCTGCCTGGCCCGGGCAGCAGGACACTTAGTGCAAATTTCGAAATGTTTATTACCATCGATATAAGAGAGATTTCCTCTGAGTAAACGAGTAATGGCAGTTTGTTCTCATCTACAGCTGCCCCGAGCCAAGGAGTCCTCTGGGCACCTACTCTGATGCCATGGGTGTACCGGCGGGACCATCCAAATGGCCATATTCTTTGCCTTACATTTAGAAAAATGCTCCAAGTAAGTAAGAGGAGCGACAGTCGTAATGGCCTCTTCAGTACCTGCTTTGGCCAAACTGTCAGCAGTCTCAATTCCGGCTACATCGACATGAGACGGAATCCAATGAAAGTGGATCTGATGATAAAGAAAAGATGTTTTAGTTTCCTGAGAATGTCAGCAACAACACTGTCCCTGATATTATGCCAATCGGCCAGGTGCTGGATAGCACTTTTACTATCCGAAAAGATCCAGATATCAATAAACCGCGAAAGCGACATTGTTCACTGCTCACAGTTTATCATTTTCCTGTGGCAATTCCATACCATCCAACTCCAACGTGTGTTACATACAATCATGCGTGTGTATTACAATTGTTGAATGGTAATTTGTTTCGTATTGTATCAACGTATGTACACATCAAATTCCATTAAAATCGGTGCAGTAGTTCTAGAGATAATCGACCCAGTCTGCAAATTCTCTTAATTTTTTACTCCAGTGTAATTGATACACGAATGTAAACAAGGGTAAACAGTCACATAAAAACAAAGTTGTTTAGTGTCGCCTGATAATTAAGATTTTACTAAGAATTTTAGAAAGCGTCTAATAATTTGGCCAGGTACCGTAATTAGTGACGTGGTGCTTTTCTTTGACAAAAAAATATTTACACTTCCATCAAACCGAATTTATAATATTTTGTTCAATTTGGAATATTTATTATTATTTCGCGTGTTTAACATCCTGGGAACAAAAAAGAAGATTATTTCCGTTTTTATCCAAGAATAAAACAATCACTCACCTGACCTTTCAAAAACTGATCCGCAAAATGAAAAAAAAAAAAAATATGAATTTTTTTTTTTAAATATATTATAGAATAAACATCAAGGATTTTGTTCTCTCTGTAAACAAAAAAGGAATAATATATAAAAGAAAGAGTCTTTTTTTTAAGGTGTAATTACCTGAAAAACATTTCCTTCTGTGAAAGAAAAGAAAACGTATCCGGTTCTGGGAAAAAACTGGAAAGACAAACAAAACACGAGGAAGAAAATGAATCTAGTAAATTTAAAAAAGATTGGGAGGAGGAGGGGGGAGAGGGATTTCTTTCCAAAAATGTCTCAAAGATCCGGAAGGAAAAAATTTTTTATAACACAAACTATAAAAAAGCAT